CCCCCTGCTCCCGTCCGGGGCTGCCAGAGCCGGACGGTGCCCTGGGAGCCCCTGGGGACCCAGAGAAGCTGTGGCTGCCCCTGCATCCCTGGAAGTGCCCAAGGCCAGGTTGGATGGGGCTCGGAGCAGCCTGGGATAGCGGAAGGTGTCCCTGCCATGGCAGGGGGTGGAACGAGATGAGGTTTAAAGTCTTTTCCAACCCAAACCGTTCTGTGAAACCTCTGCAGACAGAACGTCCTGTGTCAAGGTGGTTCATTGTCAGGCGGTATTTGAGTAACAACTTCCTCTTTCTTTCCTTACTTGACCTTTCCTAACTTATTCCACCGTCCTCTGGTTTCACACTGGGTGAGACTGGAAAGGCTGCACTAGTGGATTTCTGGGTTAAATGTGTGCTGGTGCCCTTGTAGCTGAGGACAACAGCAGGGCTTCTAAACTGAGGTTTTTCCTGCAGTGGTTGTGGCTGCTCAGATTAAAAACAGACAAGTTTTTGTCTTTCTCTTTTCTCTAGGAGATAATGGCTTCTTAATCTCTCTTCCTCTCTCTGATACTCCCTCTACTCCACAGGTACCAACTGTCTTTTCTCTCAGTTCTTTATCTAAACCCTCAGTATTCCTCCAGCTCTGATATTTCCTGCCTCACTTTCAAACCTGGTGTGTGTTTTATGCGTGGAAAAGTGCCTGTCCTCAGAAATACCTTGGAAAAATGGCTTCCAGGCCTGGGAGTGCCTCACCAACAGAAGTTACTGACCTACCATGAGTTGGGGGAGGAAATATATAGATGGAAATGCCTTTTTATAATTTAAAAAGAAAAATCCACTCCACTTTGCTACTGAGTTCCATGAGCTGCAGAAATCACTGTTAGAAAATCTAATTTTCTTTCCTCCCATTTCAAACCCAGCTGTGTGTGTGTAGCTGCAGTTTTGCCAATTTCAGTTTTAAGAGCTTGGTTCTTCCTTCTTTTCAGCTTTCCAGCGGTTTCTGACACAGTTGTGTTTCACCAAGAAAATTTTACACTACAGCTTTGAGGTTTTATTTTGTATTCAGTTTGTAAACCCCTCAATCATTATGTAAAATTAAAAGTGACAATTTGACACTAAAATTTTCCTTAAGTAGAAGTCTGCAAGGGGAGACAGTGTTTGTTGTGTGCATCCAGCCTCAGTGGTTCACTAATGTGAAGGACACTGCCTCACATTTTGCTGCTGTTCACAGTGATTTTGTTAAATCCAGCTGTAAAGTGCTTGGCAGAGCTGTGTCAGTCCTGCAGATCTGAGCCTCTGCAGTTTACTCAGCTGGAAGAAGGCAGAACACTGATGTTGAGTCATCTTTCATATGATCTAAGTTAAACTTGTCCTTGTTTGCTGGGGGGGGTTGTTTCCCTGTCGATCTTGTGGACAGTCACAACACCACACCTGATCACATTTCTCCTTCCTCTTGGCAGAGTTATCAACACCATGCTGGTGACCTGTGCTGTTTGCTGCTACCTGTTGTAAGTACAAATAATGTCCTGCCTCTTAAGCAAGGCCCACTCCTGTTGTAATCACAAGTTCCTTTTTTATAGCCTCAGAACAATTAGAAGCTTTTTGAATGTGTCACAGAGACTTGGACACATTCTTTGACAGCTCTTGGAATTCTGTGTGCTGAAGAAATTTTCTCATTGGAAAATAGTGAATTAAAAAGAACCTGAAACCCTCTTGTTGTCCTCTGACTGGACTTGCTATTCTTCCTCTCCAGTTCCTGCCTCATTTGCTCACAAGTATGATGATACTTGTCCAATTCTAAGATTTTCCTGATTCTTAGGCTTTTTTTTGCCTTTTTCCTTTCCACTTTCTATTTAATTCTAAGGCAATACTAATTAAAACCCACTGAACAATTTTTCTTTTACATTCCTTGAATATATTCTCAAAATCTGGTAGGGTGGTGGGTGGAAAGGCTGCTGCATGGTGGTTCTTTTTAGTGAGACTTTGATATATTAAGATCATTTCTGTTTAAATGCACAGTGTATTTTGAGACTGCCTCCTTTCTGTAGGAGATTTAGTAGCAATAACAAAGTGACTTGTTGAGAGCTCTTCATATAATGTTTTTTTTTAATCAGGATTTAAGCCAGCTGTAGCTGGAGGCTGCAAGACAAAGCTTGCTTGTGTTTTTCTCTCTTTTTAAAAACTGTAGAGACTGATCTTGTAAAAAAACCCAAAACTGCTGTGCAGAAATAACTTTGAAAGAATTTGTTATGGAGAGTAAAGTGGTAAATGTCTGGTTTGATCTTAAGGGTTAACTCGTTATAAAAAATACTATTTGGAGTTCCATTTGAACCTGATTGGATTTTGTACTTTTTTGAATTATTTAGGCATTATTTTTGCTATTCAAAGGAATTTAAAATGAATATTTAGAGAAATGCAGCTCAGCGTTGACATGTTCCTGGAGAGGCCTGTTGGGCTGGATTGTGGTACAACTTACACAGGTTTGGTTCAGGTTAATAGTGTGATATTCAGGGTTAATATCAGATCAGACCCTAGAAAAGTTATTTCTATTCAGAGTATTTGATATGTGAACTCCTAAGAATTCACTCTTGCTCAACTGTAAAAGTCCAGCAAACTTGGTCTGTATTGCATCCACAGAAGTTTTTAAATTGAAGTTTTGCTGAGTGGATATAGAAATTTGAGAATTTGTGCAAGCAGCTTGAATTTGGGATTGAATTTTGGGCATCTTGGTGCTGTGAAGGTCTCCTTGCCCTGCACATGAAGTTTGTAGCAGCCCAGTCTCATAACAGATCCCAAATGTTTGGCTGAGAAAGGGCAATTTTTTTGGTGATTCTTACTGGATTGTTGCATTTATGTTACAGTAAGTTGGATGGGTTTTAATTAGGAGGAGGGTTGAGCTTTGCTTTGGTTTTGTTTCAATTTAAAGTTCTCACTTGGGTTTTTTCTTCAGAAATAATGTCCCAGTCTTCTAAAACTCTGGAAGTTTGTGCTATTTGACTTGTAGGTTTAGCTGATTATTTTATCTAAACATATCCATTATAAAGCCTACTGTCATTAACATGTTTTATAAGCTGCTCTTGCATGTCTAATGGTTCTTTGGTAGTTTTGTGGTCTCTAACTTGTCTTCTGAATTTCCTTTGACTTTCTCCAGTTATACTTTGAAAAAAAAAAAAAAAGAAGCAAAATCTCAGAATGTTTTCAACTCTCAACACATAAATTGCATTTGTAGTGTCTGCTTGCCAGAATGCAACAAAAAGCAGATTTTTCTCCTCATGTTGCAAGATAGAACTTGCCTCATCACAGGTTTTCTTTTTTTATTTGTTCATTTATTCTGTATAAAACTGTAGAATAGCCTTGGTTGGAAAGGACCTCTGAAGATCTGGTCCAGCCTTTTTCCCTCTGTTTTATTTAAACACATTTATTGTTCTCGTATCCTTCCCTTTTTGGGGAGGAGGCACTGAAAACATTTAAGACCTTAATTTTGGGTGATTAAAGAAAGAGATTAATTTTTCATACCAGTCTTGAAGGAAGCCAAAAGAATTTTTTCCTGAGGGCTCCTCATTGAATATATTAGAATTCAAATAATTCCTGCAGTGCTGGGTATTTGTGTCCTTAGCAGGTGGCTGCTGCTGTTCTGTGCTGCTCTGTACAGCTGTTCAGCCTCTGCTAGACCTGCTTTCGTATCTTTGAGTTACCTTTCCAGTAGAAAATAGGGAAAAAACCAATTTCCTCTCTTCATTAAACACCACTGAACTGGATTTGAAGTCAGTCAGATTTCATCTTAAAGCTGTTTCATCTGTATTTCGATTTAACAGTCATAATTTTGAATAACTGTATTGATTACATGGGATTCATTTGGTTGTTCTGTGGAAGATATTTGCCTCTAATTTGTACCCAACAGCTTTTTGAAGAATAACCCATTCCCAGGAACCTCATAAAATCTTAGGCAAAGTCTCAGGAGTTACTGCTGCAGAAATTAGAGGTTACACCATATTGTGAGGTACTATCAGAGTCTAAATCTATTCTGCTGTGCACAAAGCAGTTCCTGAGCAGTGTCATCATGTCCTAACAGAGGACAGGGTGCTTGGAAAATGATATTATTTGCTACTGATTCTAACAGGATTAAAATATGGATGCCCAAATTGACATTTAAACAGAGATAGCAGGACCTTAATTTGTAACGCGAGTGCAGACAGATGGCAGTTGTGGTGGGAAGACCTTTTAAAAAATCTCTCTGGTACAGCAGAAGGGACTTTAATTTCCTTGTCTGAGCTGGATAATTAACAGTAACTGTTCTAAGAGGGATCTGGTAGAATTTAAGGACCTGTGGGTGGCTCGAATGCCATACCTGCTTTTAGCAGCTCTGGAATATTGCATCTTGGATACAGAGGTTTGTTTTACTCAGGACGCTGCGTTTTGTTGTCACACTGGATTATCGTATAAAGCAGCATCACTTAAGCAAAACATGGGAAAAGCTTTTTCACGACTAACCTTGAATGCAAGGCAGTTTCAGCCTAACAACTGCTTTAAATTCCTCAGCCCTCGCAGAGCAGGGAGGAGGAATGTGCTGCTGCCCTAATGCCACCCTGGCTCCGAGCTCGGGTATCCAGCACGGCCCCAACAAATGCCTTTTGAAACCTCCACGCTGCTTTTCCCAAAGCCTGGTTACATAGGTTGAGATTCTGAATGTGCTCCCAGCTCATTTAATTCACAGCCATGCTGGGCCTGAGCTCGGGAAGCAGCGAGAGGTGAGAGATTCGTGCGTGGAGTTCCTTCCTGCTCTGCAGTGACAAAAGGAATAATGTGCTTTAACAGGCTTTTAGTGTTCTACCCTCCTCCCACTTGTGTTACTTCAGGATGCTGGAGGCAGATGGCACAGTGCTCTTTGGATCTGTCTGTTGGATCTGAAAAATTAACCCTCGCAGAAGAAATTCCGTGATAATTTTTAAGAGCTGATTCGTTTTTCCCTTAAGTAGATTTAACACCATGGTCTCAATATACATTGTTGTCACTGCTTTAGACAGCAAAGCAGAAACATGTCAACCTAAAGGTTTTTGGCTGCTCTCAATGGTGTCTTGCTGATGTTTTAATTCCTTTGTAGAGCCTGCTACGTGTTCCAAGGCTTGTGTGACTGATGGACTGCTGCAGGCTCAGCTCCTTGTTTTAGCTGGAGTCCTACCCCGTGCAAAACTGAAAGGGGAATTGCCAAGAAATATTGGTAAATTTGAAGAGGATTGATGTGTTTTCTTTAAGTCTGACCCATATCTTTTGCCCGTGGTTGTTGCAGGCATTTTGCAGCCGACCTGCACTTGGTTTGCTGGTCAGAGCATCAAGGTTTGTGTGGAATTTTCCATGACTGCCTAAGCACTCTGATACATTTGTGGCAGCTCCCATTACAAAGCTGCTCTGCTTTTTCTCCTCCTTACAAAGCATTCTAGAAATAGCAGACAGATGAGCCAGTGTGTTCACTAAATGTGTTTATATAGTTAGTATTTAACATAGATTTAAATCCATGGAAGCATCCCTTGCTTTTTCTGACTCTTGTAACGTTTACAAAGCAAATATATCTTTTAACAGTGGAATATTTATTTCTGTTTAGCTTTCCTGGATATTTTCCACAAACTGCATTCCTCTTGTTCTCAGTTCTGGCCATGGCTTCCGCAGTGTTAGTTTGTGCTCTACTCCAGTGACAAGGCTGCTGTGCTGGGATTTGTGTCATATTTGGGTTCTTGCGGGGTGATTTTTTTGTCTTCTTTGTGTGCTTTTGTACCGTTTTGCTTCAGGTCCTTGCTTTTTGACCTCTGTGCCAGGTTTAAATTCACTTTTGTTAAGTCTCTGAAAAATATACCGTGTCTACAAGGGCAGGCTGTCGTGCACTGAGAAGCAAATGAGAGAGAGGATGTTTCTCAGAAGTTGTTGTTTAAGGGATGCTTCAAAGGCACTGAAAAAAAGGTCTGTCTCTTTCATGTTTCCATCCTCTGAGTCTCCAAATACCTGGGTTTCATGTGTCTCAAAACACTTTCCTGTCAAAAGAGAGGTGTGAGGGCAATGCTGTCAGGTGGTTTTGTGTTGCTTTCAGTTGAACAGGACAATCTATTTCGCTTGCAGAGTGATTTGGTGCCATAACTTTGGTGGCTGGTCCTTGTGTATGAGTAGAATTTTTATTTGAACCTAAACCTTCCTGAAATAGCCTTTTCTTTGATAGTCCTGGTGTTTGGACAACCTTTCTGTTGTCACAAGTTGTCATTTGGCTGATTTGTCTCTGTTGGCTTGGGGGGTTGTCTTGCAGTTGGCTGATTGCAATTCTGGCTCAACTCAACCCTCTCTTTGGGCCGCAGTTAAGCAATGAAACAATCTGGTATCTTAAATATCACTGGCCTTAAGGATGTGTGTGCTGTGCTGCAGTTCATTGACAGGTGAGTATGATCAGATTTATTGATATATTTGGTTGTGTTAAAGCTTAAGGAGACATTGAATAGTAATGTGAGCAGTGTGTTCCAACTACTGTAGCTCTTTTGCAGGAGAAATCTGTCTTTCTGTAGGCTGCAACAAAACATTTTGGATGTTAGTCTTGACTGGATACGTGAAAAGCTTGAACTGAATTATTGGCAGTTATTTTTCTTTCTATCCTGGTGTGTGGTGCTGTGTTCAGGGGTTTGTAAGGAGAACAAAACATTACTTAAAAAAAAATATAATTGGACTGGGGTGTTTTTTAATAGCTAACATAAGTGGATTTCCTAATCTTTAGCAATTGTTAAACCTCTCCTCAAGCCTGCTACCATTTAATCTAAGACCTGTCCTGATTTCCAAGGCAACACAGCATTGCCCTCATTCATCTGGGAAGTTGGACTGGGAGCTGCCATTAGAATGTTCTTTATCTCCTGAGCTCACAGCTTGATGCTTTATTTTGTTTTTAATGACAGCCTGTGTGCAGCTTTAATCCCAGGTGAACCTGGTGGTTGCTATCTGGGCAGTGCTGCTGGAATGTGGTTCTTGTAGTTCCTGGGCTTTTTGACAGGGCCAGCAAAAATAAAGTATTGTACTAAAAGTACCTTAATGCTGTTGGGCTTGTCCAGGAGGGCAGCATTTGGAATTGAAGGTTCAAATGAAGGAAATGTGGAAACAAGCAGCCATGATTATAGTTTTTAAGCTGGTAACTGAATAATTAAACACATTTATTTTTGTCCTTACACCACACAGTCTCAGTTCAGAGCAGCAGGCAGTGACAATTGATGTTACAGCTCTGTTAAATGCTTTCTGTGAAGTGTCCTGGACATCTGCTCCCCGGTTTCAGAGAATACTTCCTGTGAATTGGGATGTTGTCAGACTGGGCCTGTGTGTGTGTCTGCAGCTCCTTTTAAGCACCAAGCAGAAACTAAAGGTAGACTTGGCCCTGCTTCAACTCCAGGCCTGTAATTAGCAAAGTCAGTCAAGCAGAATTTCCTAGGAGCATTTTCACTGCTTGGGTGCTAACATATAATTAGTTAGCTAAAACAGAGAACAGTGTGTTTTGGTAATGGGCACAAAGATCCCTGAATCCCATAGGATGATTCAGTTGCCTGGGATCTGAAATTGGAGTTATCTGGACATAAAAATTTGGCTTCACGATCTGTGTGTTGAAACCGGCAAGGACAGGCAGGAGGAGAGACAACCTCTGGGCTCCTGCTAACAGAATCAGGCCTTTCCCCTCCAATTCAGAAGGATTTTCCAGAGAACTGGAGTTAAATTTGTACCAAGGAAGAGAGGGAACTTGTGTGTTTGAGGATGACTGCAGAGTTTCTGAGGAGCTGTCATTTTTAAACTCATTAATGGAGCATTTCAGCCCTGCATAGCACATGTTGTTGTGTTACATGAAGGAGTTTGTTTAAACCTTTCCTCTGATTTTATTGGCTTGATTTTGGAGTAAAATTAAGGTTGTTGTCTCTGGAAAAAAAAAAAAGGTTTAGAGAAGTAAAAGCATATAATAATCCTCAAATATCTGTTCTTTGTTGCTTGAAATGCGTTGTCACAGGTCACACCACTTGAGTGCTGTTTGAGTGTTATTGCAGGGCTGAGGTGCTCCATGTCCTGTCCTTGCTCTTGTGGAGTTTGTGCCTAGGCAGGAGCTGGGAGTGAGATTCCATCTGATAAGAGCTGCGATATCTCTCTGACACTGCATGGATTCCCATCAGTGTAGCAACCAGTTATTTCTGGATTTTGAGATGTGCTTTTCCAGCATTCAGGGGACACATACTATACTTGTTTCTGCCTCCTGTTCCTTTCAGTTGAGGTTTGGGTGGATTAGTATGGAAAATGCAAAGAGAATGAAGTGCTAACTCCCAAAGTGGAAAGATCTTTAAAAATAAGGATGATTAAAGCAAACTTATTTTACTTTACCAACTGAGCAGCCTGAAAATGCTCCAGTGAGCTCCTTGTGTTCTGCTGAGGAACTCTGCATATGCTGGCTTGATTGATCTGTGCCAAATTCCGCAAGTTTGCTCTGTGTTTTCAGGCAGTCTCACTCCCATCCAAGGGATGATTTTATAGCAATTCAGTTGATAGATCACTGAGTTAATGGCCTGGATGGCAGCTGTGAGAGCACACAGAGCTTTGAAGCCGTGGTGAATCCAGGCTGTGGACTCCTCCAGACTGCTCCAACACTGCCTTTTCTCCTTAGCTTGGTGAATTCACAGTCTGTGTTCTCAGAGCAGGAACTTTGTGCAAGTGGAGAAGGGCTGTCATCCAGCTCGCTGGGTGCTGTTACAGCAGTGAAAACATTTGAGGGAAGTAGTTGTTCTACCAGCTTAGAATGTAACTAAAACTACTTGCAGTAACTTCAGAAATGAAACTGCTAAGAAAACATCCACACAGATGAATTATCTCCAGTTCTTGACCATTGCTCAGTGCATTGGTGGAATGGAAATAGCTGTGGTTAACAGCCAGGCCTTTAATTAGCAACGTGTCTCCGTGGAAGGGAATAATGAAGTTGCCTCTTGCTTTGCAGGTGAAGAAGAGATGAAAAACTCCACTGACCCAAAGGTTCCCTTTCTGTAGCTGGTTGGATACGAAGCCTGCAGTAATGCCTTAACCTTTCTAATGTTCTTCATGTGGCTTCTTCAAAGCTCTGTGTTTTTTCCTACTATTCCATTTAACAGAGTGCCTAATGCAATTTATACTCCTCTTTGGTACTGTCAATTTTTGACTGTTAACTCCAGATGTGATGAAAATTTCTATTTTTACGGGTCATGGAATCTCATTTCCTGTTCATTTTATCTGTAATAACACTTTATATTTGAAGGTCTTAGCTCGTCTGTCATTTTGCTGTTCACCCCTGGTCTGTTTGCACTGGACACAAATATGTGCAATAAACTGTGTGAGGAGAGGAGGAACAGTGATATCACGTGCTGATGGCAATTCTTTATTTTATTTTATGTTTTTTTTTCAAATGAATTGTATTCTTGAGAAATCTGGCCTTAAATTTCTCATGCCTGGAAATAAAGCTAATCCTCTGCTTGATACAAAATGTTCTTGTGCCATGTTTAACTGTTACTTTTCTGTGGGTTTAATTGGAATCTTGGAGTTGAGCTGAGGATATTTAGATGATGTAATGAATTGTAATGAAGTTAAATAGTAGTAATAGATGAGGGATTGTTGCCTGTATCGAGACCTCTGGGGTAGATCTATAATAGGATTAAACTCGCAATCTAAAATTGCTGAAAGGTGCAGGAATAAGTGAATGCTTGGCTTGAGAGCCTCTTTTCCAGGAATTTCCCATTCTCTGAGGGGGACTTGGAGTAGCAAAGGTAACGTGGTTAATTTTGACAAAGCCTTTACAGTGATTTTGACAGGAGGCTGATTTAATCCCTGGAACATTTGGAGGGTATTTATAGGAGCAAATGGCTTGAATTGAACAGCAAGCATTCCAGTTATTTTCTACTGACCTGACCCTTGTGTCAGCGTGGAATTGCTGACCTGGGAAAGCACAAGGCAACGTAGACAAGAGGTTCCTGAGGCTCCTCAGTGTCAGCTGAGTCCATGGGATTGGGGATGGATCTGGTCAGTTGTTTGCTGAGGAGCAGCTTCAGAGGATATACATGCTCCTTCCTGAATGCTTCCTCACCTCTCGTCCAGATAAATTACAGCTATTATTTATTGTTATGCACAAGGACATAATGGAATGGTTAATATTTTCTTTGCTTTTCCCTCTTGGGTAGCACCATTAACTTATTCAGTGGGACAGCACTCGTAACTACACAGGAAATTCCAAGATCCTGACATGCAACTTTCAGTGATCCAAAACTGGACAGTGTGAATTGCAAAAGAAGGAAGAACGTGCTGATTATTACAAATAAGCATAGCAGCTGTTGGGACTGGAATAGCAGATTTATTTTTTTTTGTCATGTTACCTTCTAAGAGCTTTCTTTACCATGCAAGATGTTGTACATCGTCATGTTACACAGTCTGGACCAAATAATTCCGAGGAAAATTGAAACCAAGTGATCATATGAAAACGTAAGGTTGTTGTTTAATTTTTGAAGTGTATGGAGAATAAAATATGTTGACATTGTATGAGGAGAGGGAGAGAAATACTTGAAGATGTCGTTGACAGATTTGAGATTTTAAAATCTGTTGCTCTTCTTGTGGTATTTAGCCTAAGAAGAGGACCCAAGAAAACACTCAGTGACAAGCAGCGCTGTTTATTGTGTTACCACTGTCTTTAACAAGCTTTCTATTTTAGGTTCTAAGCTCTCCCTTGCTCTGGACGAGAGAAGTAAAACAGAGTTCCCATGGGGTGTCTCACTGGTGCTGAATTTAATGGAAAGAGCTATTCCAAGGCAGGACAAAGAAGCCATAGAGCAATTTTCACCTAGATGCTTCCCAGGAAGACATTTCCCTTTTCCAGAGTGGTTTATATTTCCTCTGAAGCAGATGCCAGGTGGTAGCATGACTGAAGAAGCTGAAAGAATCGTGTTTTGTGTCTGTTCTGCTGGATGTTCCATGGAGGTTGGGGAATGGTCTGCTCCATGTGTGCCAGGAATTCACGCTGCTTGGGATAATTTCATTTTTTTTTCCATGACTGCAGGAAATGAGAACAGAGGGATTCAGCCACTGGTGTTTAACAAACAATGCAGGTACCAGGGCATTTATCACGCATCCCTCTGTTTTCTGACAGCAGAAGAGAATGCAGAATGTTCAAGTATAAAAGAAAGAAGTTTGTGCTGGAAATGGAAAAACCTGAAAGATCTTTGGGTAAAAAATATGAGGAAGGTGAAGGAAACTGCCTCTTTAGTCAAGTTGTGAAGACTTTTAAGACAACCTCTGGCAATGTGTAGAGCAAGAGTTCAGGTCAGGGTCATTTCAAATGCTTGTAACTGCTTTTGTTCATATTGTTTAGGAAATGCAAATATTGGCATCTCTGCCCCTCACAAGAAATATTTTCTGGAGACTTTATAGACTTTCTTCTGGTGGAAATCATGGAAGCATTTTACTCCTGTGAAGGGCTGAGTTACCAGAGGTAGGTGGCTGCTCCCTTGTTTCCAGACATAAATGTCATGGACTCTCTAGGGAAAAATAGAAGAAATGAGGTAAAATGCAAAAACTTCTTTAAAGAATAAAATACATTCTTTATAAATAGCAAAACAAGAACAGGTGGGTCTAATTTTTATTATGTTAATTAGTAATAATTTCTCCAGTTGTCTGAAGCAGTGCAGGCCAGCCACCTGTCACTGCAAAAGGTGGTATGGTGCATGTAGCTGAGGACAGTAGGAAAAATAGAGCGCTGCAGGCAGGGGATGGACGGATGGAGAGGGGTGAGTGAGTGAAGTGAGCGAGGCCGCAGAGCAGCAGGTTCGGGGTGTGGGGCGATGTGGGGAGACGAACCCAGCACAGCCGCAGGAGCCGCCGCCGCCCCGCCGCGCTCTACCCGCGGGCACCCGCCTCCCTGCCTTAAATACCCCCCGCGCGCCGCTCCGCTGTCACGTGACAGAGACACCTCGTCGCCATTGGCTGGCGCAGCCCCCT